CCTAATATAGTGTTCCAATGTCAATGTTCCATGCTGTTGTAATGATCTTCCCATTCCCACTTGGACTGTAGATTCACTGCTGTCCTTCAAACGACATCTAAAACCCATCCCTTCCAAGAACAACCTGAACCCCAATAAATAAAATCAAAACCACATCTTGAAACACTTTTTCTCTCTCACTCTCTTAAAAAAAACTTCTTACTTTATATAACAGGCACTTCTTGTGTGTATTGCCTCCTCTAGTGAATCGCTGAATACCTCATCAATTGTATTAAAGTCGCTTTAAATAAATGTAAATATAATGTATAATGTTTGTGTTAAAAAGACACTTTTTTTGAATGAAATAGTAACACATTTAAAATCACACATACAATAATAACAATCTGTCTGTCTATCTATCTATCTATCTATCTATCTATCTATCTATCTATCTATCTATCTATCTATCTGTCTGTCTGTCTGTCTGTCTGTCTGTCTGTCTGTCTGTCTGTCTGTCTGTCTGTCTGTCTGTCTGTCTGTCTGTCTGTCTGTCTGTCTATCTATCGATCGATCGGTCTGTCTGTCTGTCTGTCTGTCTGTCTATCTATCTATATATCTGTCTGTCTGTCTATATATATATATATATATATAAGGGCTGCTCAATATATCGTTTCTGTATTGATATCGCAATGTGCGCATCCGCATAGTCACATCAATTATTGTTGACCAGGAGCTACAGAACTATTAATTCAATCACTTTATTTTTATGTAATTTATATGATTTATGTAAAAAAAAATTTATTGTTTATATATATATATATATATATATATATATATATATATATATATATATATATATATATATATATATATATATTAGGCATGAGACAATAACTGGTTTCAAGGTTTATCGCGGTTTGGAAAAGTCAAGGTAAAATATTCTGCAAAAAAACGCATGAATATCATAAATGTTTTATAATATGAAATATATTGTGGTAAATGGAGGGAATTTTTTTTTCCCAAACATTTAAAAAGAACTTATTTTACAACATGAAAACTGTGAAACCGTAATATTTTTATCCAAGGTTACCATACTAGATACCTATACCAGCCCATGCCTAATATATATAAATGTTTTGTGTTTACACGCACGCACGCAGTAAAACCTAACAGTCAACTTTATCAAATGAAATAGTTAACACAAAATTTACTGGAAGTTAATTCAACTCACTTGAAAAGAGTTTTGAACTCAGTGTTGAAGGTAACAAGTTAATTAAATACCTCATTACTTCAACTTAAATGGAGTAAGTTCACAGTGCTCATATAGATTAGTTTACTAACTGTAACTCAAATTGGGTTGTAGCAATCGGTTTCCTCAAACGGTTGGATTTTTCTTAATTTATTTGGTTTCACTGTGCTAAAACCGCTTCATTTACTCAATGGATCAAGTTCAAAGTACTCATTAGGATTAGTTTTTGAACTGAAATGGTTTGTTGCAATCGGTTATTTCAAATGGTTTGAGTTACCTTAACTTATTAAGTTTTACAGTGTATAAATATATAATAATGATTACAATATTAAGATAATTTTAAAAATAGGGAGTGATTAGAGTAAGACAATAAACATGGTTAATTAAATATAATCCCCTAAATGAGGTTTTTAGTAGTTTACTAAAGTGTAAATATTGTATTTTAGATAGCAGAGTAGTTTAGGTACATAAAAAAGTTGAAATAAACTGAATTACATAATGATATTAATAACAGATGTATTCATTTAAAGCATTATTAACAAGAAAAACAGATTTAGAAACAAAATTTATCCTAAACAATACAAATAATTGGCAGATAACACAGTGAATTAATCTTTAAATTGTAAAGCAGAAATGCATTAAAGTGTTTGTCAATGTACTTTTCTCATTTTGAAGTAGAAAAAATGTTAAAAAATAGCAAAAAAAAAAAAAGTATTGTACATTATATAAACAATTAGACCAGAATCAAGCACTAAATCCACTTCTCCGAGTGAAAACGTCTGTAGTTTACTATTTCACTTCAAAATAAATGCTCTAATTCAGTGTTTCCTTTGGATTTATTTGTCACTTTAATCAAATGTATAAGTTTCACAGTGGATTCTACACCAACTTCTTATAAGTGTATCTGTCTCATTTACAACTGTGATTAAATCTCGTTTCTCCAGTGATAATGATCTTTGCTAAGCCAGTGTTTTGGAACGCTTTCACATTGACAGTGAGTGCATGGGAGTAAATGGTGCTGAATCAGAGCTCTGTATGGTGTGTGTGTGTGTCTGTGGACTCACGCGCAACACGTAGCTCTGTCATTAAACCCCCAGAGCTCTGGCTTATGGCCAGATTCACTCTCTTCAACACACACACACACTCACGCACACACTTCCTCCTGCGCGCTCTGCTGCTGCATGTTTACATATGACTGTGACGACAAACTGCGTATGCGCTCTTATTGTGGAAATGTGACTGTGATAAAGACTGCTCTGCAGAAATGTAAACACGGGCACCGGTGACTGTTGCCCATATTGTGTGTGTGTGAGTGTGTGTGTTCGTATTGGGAAGGGCTACCTAGTATCTGTTTAGAGGATATAGACAATCAAGAGCTTTTTTTGAACACTTTAAGAACATATTTGTTATGGTAAATTGCAGATATTATGTTCTTTGTTTAATAATCATTGCATTTTTGTTGATAATAATCAAGCTGAACGTGATTAGATTTTAATAATTTAACATGAATGTTCACTTTTGAAATACTTTTGATTGTTAAACAATCATGCAGGATGTATGGAAGTGAGTCGGAAACGGTTTGCTCTAATAGTTTGCTGGTTTATACAGTTTTATTGTTGTTTAGACTGTCTAAATGCCCAATCGTCAAGGCCAAAACATTGCATTGTGCTTTTTGGTTTGTTTACAGTGTATATTGTTTTCTATATAATAGATATGTAAAATACTAGACAATCAAGTGCATTAGTTTTGGGCACTATAACATTTTATTTGTAATGGTAAATTACAGATTTTGCACTATGATTATTATTATTTGTATTAGAATATGCTAAAGAATTAGCTTTTTACAATGAAGCACACAAAGCTCCTCTCTTAAATATTTTTGCTAGTGAAACAGATGTTTAGTCTTTACTGATGTGACTGAAATACTGTTTTCGTTAAATGTTTAATGTTTCTAAACCCTTTTATTGTTGGTTGAGTTCTGCATTGTATTTGTGATCTGTTTAAAGTAACGCTTTGTTGACAATTGAAATTATACACATTATAAAGAACTGAGTTCACTTTGAACTTTGTATTTGTATATCTGTAATAGTGAAGTACACTTGACAAAAGTTAAGAATAGACGTGTGTATATATATATGTATATATATATATATATATATATATATATATATATATATATATATATATATATATATATATACACACACACACACCGGTCAAAAGTTTATGGTCAGGTTTTTTCATGTTTTTTTTTTTTTAAGAAAATTATTCCGTTCATCGAGGCAGCATTTATTGTATGTAAAAAAAAAAAAAAAGTTAAATTGTTAAATATTTATTACAATTTTAATTAACCGAGTGATTTATAAAGGATCATGTGACTCAAGACTGGAGTAATGAAGCTGAAAATTCAGCATTAAAATCACTGTAATAAATTATTAAATAAAATTATAAACTATATTTAAACAGTTATTTTATAGCGCAAAAAACATTTCACAATTTTACAATTTGTACTGAATTTTTGATCCAATAATTGCAGTCTTGATGAGCAGGAGAAGCCGGTAGTGTGTGTGTGTGTGTATAACTGATTTATTTTATCTTTGCCATGATGACAGTAAATAATATTTGACTAGATATTTTTCAAGACACTTCTATACAGCTTAAAGTGACATTTAAAGGCTTAACTAGGTTAATTAGGTTAACTAGGCAGGTTAATTAGGCAAGTTATTGTAGAATCATGGTTTGTTCTGTAAACTATAGAACAAATATATAGCTTAAAGGGGATAGCTTAAAGGGGATAATAATTTTTACCCTAAAATAGTTAATACATTTTTTTTACTTATTTTATTTTAGCCGAAATAAAACAAATAAGACTTTCTTCAGAAGAAAAAAAAAAAAATTTCTGTTAAACATAATTTGGGAAATATAAAGAAAATTCAAAGGGGGCTAATAATTCTGACTTCAACTGTATGCGTGTGTGTGTGTGTGTGTGTGTAGTACACACACAGAAAGACTTTTTTGTTTATAAATTTTTGTTTATATTTTGGGAATTATCAAAAGTATATTATTTGTAAAGCACTAAAAGTATATACACTGATTGTATATAAATACATAATTACAAAGTGTAACATTTGCAAATATGTTAAAGTGTAAAAACAAACAAAAAAATCTGATATTTCAGTTGTAAACAAAGCAGCATATCTTATTAACGATAAAAATAGACCAGACAGAAATATTTGAAAGTCTAAACAATAAAACTGTTTAAACAACTATTGAACATCTACGTTCAACATTTGTTTGACCAGCAAAGGTATTGGAGAAATGAGTTTACAACGTAGTAAATTAATTAAAAGCAAACGATTTAAAATAAGTTTGTCACCTGCTGTGGTCACAAGATCCCAAAACTTTTGTTGTTTAGATTTAATATATATATATATATATATATATATATATATATATATATATATATATATATATATATATATATATATATATATATGTATGTGTGTGTGTGTGTGTGTGTGTGTGTGTGTGTGTGTGTGTGTGTAATTTGTTTACAACTGAAACCATTTTAGAAACAATTTTAGTCTAATGTATATTTTATCCACTAACAGACTAATATTTTGTGACATGAGCCGATATATTTAGACATTATACATTTATTTTAGACTAAAACAACCAACAAAATAGATTAAAGGCACAATACGACTTTTTCATTAACATATACAAAAAACAGTAGAACACTGTTATGTACTTTGATGAGTTATGTACTTACATTTACCCGAAATGTTTCCAAGAATGTTTAAATCCAGATATTTTTCGCCATGCTAACCAAGAGGGAAACATGAAAACACCAAACCGGAAGCCGTGGACTGCGGCATAATAAAAGTTCCACTGCGTGACACATTGCGTTCGTCTCTCGTTATCAGTGGCTTCAGCGATCTTCTTTTTGCCTCACCCTGCTTTAAACTACCATGATAAAAGTGTTGAATACTTTAGCTCGTGATTTCTGCACCTGTCCTGTTGTATTTAATGAAGACCACAACTCCTATGATTCCACACTCATTCACGGGCGTCATCAAACTACGCCTTGGTTTGTTGTGAAAACGCGTCATCTAGTGGCGAAAATTACACATTGTACATTTGAAGTACAAGATTTATCTAGTGTTGTTTAATGGGCCACTTTACTGTTTACTGCAACTTTACAAACTTACTTGTGTTTTTTAGTTGTTCAAAAAGAGCCTTAAAGATTTACTAGCCACTGATTTATCAAATACATAAATTGAAATAAAGTAAAAGATTGCAACAAAGAGATAACATAGGCTATCTGGATTATAACTGAATTATAAATTGTAATGTAAAATATCCATCAAACTTAGTTTCATGTGTTTTGTTTTTCAGGCAATGGTGGCTTGTTATCCTGGAAATGGAGCTGGATATGTGAAACATGTAGATAACCCTAATGCTGATGGCCGCTGCGTCACCTGTATTTACTATCTGAATAAAAACTGGAATGCCAAGGTACTTTTTACTTTATTTCAACACCATTTGCAAATCATTTAACTGTACAAATTTATGTAAGAATTAAAAATAACTATGTTTTTTTAATCTATAGTTATAACTAGCCTGTGGTAATAATGTGGCTGGATTGAATTCCCAGTAAAAAGAACTACAAGTAAAACTACAGCTGACATTGGTAATTGAAAACTAGAGGTAAAACTAATGTGAAATTCTATTAAACTTAAAACATCAGTATATATTGATTAATTAGTTTAAATGTATGACCCTGGGCCACAAATCCAGTCTGTATATATGTCTGGAAATAACCATAAAACACATCGGTAGCCCATATGGGTCAAAATTATTTTTATTTTATGCAAAAATACACTAGAATATCAAATAAAGATCATGTTTCATAAAGCTATTTTGTAAATTTCCTACTGTAACTATATTAAAACATATTTTTCATTGCCGAGAGCTTAATCTGAACAGATGTAAAGGGGATTTTCTTAATATTTAGATGTTTTTAACGCTCAAATCATATTTCAAATAGTTACATCTCAGATAATATTATCCTGACAAACCATACGTCAATGGAAAGCCTTTTTATTCAGCGTTCATATGATGTATAAATCTATAAATGTTATAAATGACTAATAATTAGATGTCACTCTGTGTTTTATTAGGAACATGGGGGATTGCTGAGGATCTTTCCTGAAGGGAAACCTTACGTAGCCGATATTGAGCCTTTATTTGACCGGCTTCTGCTTTTCTGGTCAGATCGAAGGAATCCTCATGAAGTTCAGCCGTCGTATGCTACAAGGTGAATGCATTAGCTTTCATGTTACACACAATAAATGATGTTAGTTGTCTTACACTTAACCTTTACCTTGAAATGTGTGAGATTTGTGTATGGTCGTTGGGGTCCAATTTCTCTACATGTAAGTGTTGTGACAGATAAAGGCTTATCATCATTATTTAAAGTGAGCTGAAGCAAATTCTTGAGTTTTTTGTGACAACCTAACGGTTTTTCAATTAATTCATTTACATTTGTAAAAACTAATAAGTCAGGGGTGTCCACACTCGGTCCTGGAGGGCCAGTGTCCTGGAGATTTTAGCTCCAACCCTAATCAAACACACCTAAACAAGCTTATCAAGCTCTTAGGCAGGTGAGTTGAAGCAAGTTGGAGCTAAGATCAGCAGGATACCGGCCCTCCAGGACCGACTTTGGACACCCCTGTAATAAGTTAACTTAATTCCTTCATTTTGTCCCAACATAAACAGATAGTGTGGAACCCAATGTTGTTTTTACAGTGTACAATGCCTGACAAAAGTCTTGTCTCCTATCCAAGTTTTAGGAACAACAAATAATAACTTGACTTCTAGTGGATCATTTGGTATCACAAGTGGCCTATATGAAAGGCAAAGGCTTCTAAATTAGGCTTATTTGACCAAAATAAAATATGATCATGCCTTGATTTCTTAATGATTTAATAAGGACAGTAATGTCTAACTTTGCTTAGAAAAAACTCTTGTCACTTGAAAGAAATAATGTAGAGTATAGAATATAAAGTCATGCTGCAGTGGAAAAAGAATGAATATTGTGTCTGACACCCATGAGCTTGAAGGACTGCATCCATACATCTCTGCAATGATTCAGATCAGTAATTAATGAAATCATCTGGTATGGCAGAGAAAGTGTTCTTGCGGGACTCCCAGAGATCATCAAGATTCTTTGGCTTCATCTTCAATGCCTCTTTCTTCATCTTACTGTACGTTCACACCGAAAGCGGCGAGAGAGTCAAAGGTCACTACATTGATCTCGTATTTAAAGGGGCCATTGCAGCATATTATATCAGTTACATTCCCGCATAAAAACATACTTTCTAGCAGGAAAATGTTGCACACTCATAATCAAATTCATTTAACAATGGAAGATCAAGTTGCATGTGGTGTGGCCTTGCTCCACTTAATTATCCAATGTGTCCATATGTCTGAAATATCCTGAAGCAGCAATACTGTTTTGTATTGTTGCATGACATTCCCGCTTTTTTAAAGAAAAAACATCATTAATTCACCAGTAACTTTTTAAATTATGTTCCTGTAACAAAACATAGGAAATAATTGAAAATCCGGCGGTGGTTCATTCCGCTGTGGCGACCTCGGATTAATAAAGGGACTAAGCCGACAAGAAAATGAATGAATGAATGAAAATCCGGCGACCGCAATAATCAAACGCTTGGGAACAACTGTGGTCGGAACCAAAGTTCACAGGATTGTGTTTTCTGGACTCCTCTCAAGCGGTGGACTTCTTCATTCTGATTGCTTGCCGCTGAACCGCTTCATAGCTCATTACCATAAAGTTAACTTGATTTCAACTCTCCCCGATGCCCACACCAGTGAAGACGTGCCGCGCTGCTCCTCGCCGCTTGTCGCCGCTGACTTCCAGCTACTTTCACGCTCTCGCCGCTTTCAGTGTGAACGTGCAGTTACCCCAGACATGCTTAATAATGTTCATGTCTGGTGACTGGGCTGGCCAATCCTAGAGCACCTTTACCTTCTTTGCTTTCAGGAACTTAAATGTGGAAGCTAATGTATGAGGAGCGCTATCCTGCTGAAGAATTTGCCCTCTCCTGTGGTCTGTAATGTAATGTGCAGCACAAATGTCTTGATACCTCAGGCTGTTAATGTTGCCGTCCACTCTGCAGATCTCTCGCAGACCCCAATACTGAATGTAACCCCAAACCATGATTTTTCCTTCACCAAACTTGACTGATTTCTGTGAGAATCTTGGCTCCATGAGGGTTCCAATAGATCTTCTGCAGTATTTGTGATGATTGGAATGCAGTTCAGCAGATTATTCATCTGCCACTTTTTCATATGATCAACTAGAAGTCAAGTTATTATTTGTTATTCTTACAACTGGGATTGGCGACAAGGCTTTTGTCAGGTAGAGTAGCTGTAGGAATAGTTTGGCATAATGTAAAAGTGTGTGTTTTTGTGTTACAGGTATGCAATCACTGTGTGGTACTTTGATTCAGAGGAAAGAGCTGAAGCAAAAAGAAAATATCTCACAGGTTGGTTGGTTCAGCTAAAATGAGTAGTATTCATAGCTGTGTCTGATTGTAAATATCTAACTGTTCAAATCTTTACATTTCAGCCATCTCACAGGAAGGTTCATCATCTTAACGTCTAAACACACAAGCCCGTCTCGGAGAGGAATTCTTCTTTCTTTCTTTTTTTAATATATTTTTGCATTGCTTGTTGCACTAATGGTACCTCTCCCCCTCACTTTATTTTTGTGATTTACTTGGTTTGAATCCAGTCCTTAAAACTCATTGAAGAGTCGTCTGAATAACACGCTGCTAATATAAAGACAATTCTGTGAGAAATGTGAGAATCTTAATACTATTAGATGTTTATTGTAATTAAGTTTGTATTTTTTTTTTTTTAAAGAGAGCGAATACGGTCTAGAGAATGTATTTAAAGGACATTGAATAAATGAGAAATATAACACTAGTTTTTATTTGCATTAGAAATGTCAACAAGCATTATGGATATTTTTTTTCATAGACGTCCCGAGTTGTTATATGCTGTTATGTTGCAGTTTTTTGGCACATATTTTATCGTTCTTTGCGCAAGTGATGAACACTGATTGATGTTTGAAATGATCAGTTGACTTGAAGTTGTGTATATATATATATAGATGCTTTATAATTGTGATGTTGAATGAGACTCTTTCAAATGGAGTCGTTCTGTACTGTGTTCACAAAGAGGTCTTTAAAAGCACTTAGTCAAATGATATTGCTATATTTGTTCAGTCCCAGTGTGAGCATTTAATCAGCTTGCATGCAGGTCAGCAATGCTGCTCAAACACACCCTTGGATCAATATCATTTGACCGTTGTTTCAGTAAATATTACAGCTTTATAAAATGTTTCTTTGACAGAATTTGATACGATCTTTATCTTGAAGTGTGTGAGCAGTTTGGTTCGTGTACTGTAATCAAACTGAGGTGTTCGACTGTATGAAATGGCCAAACTAAACAATATGAAAGTGTTTTCAATGATTATCTACTTGTTTGTATTATGTTGTTTTGTTTGAGAAATAAAGTTGTTCCTTTGGCCATGATTTAACACTAGGTGTCACTGTGTCCTCGTTATTCTGTTCGTGCCGGAGTGTCAAACTTAATTCCTGGAGGGCCGAAGCCCTGCATAGTTTAGTTCCAACCCTGCTCCAACACACTTACCTGTAGGTTTCAAACAAGCCTGAAGGACTCAATTAGTTTGATCAGGTGTGTTTAATCAGGGTTGGAACTAAACTGTGCAGAGCTGCAGCCCTTTTGGAGCTGAGTTTGACACCTGTGTGTTAGTGTAAGTGCTTATTGGACTTTCAGACCAAGGGTTCCCAAACCTTCTCTTATAAAGGGACTAATTTATTTGCTAATTTTTAAAATCAACTAGAAAATATAGCTTTAAAAATATTGATTAATGATGCAGATTCATTTTTATTATTTTATGAAAAATATCTTTCCCAGAAATGGGTTGCGGCTGGAAGGGCATCCGCTGCGTAAAAATTTGCTGGATAAGTTGGCAGTTCATTCCGCTGTGGTGACCCCGGATTAATAAAAGGACTAAGAATATCATATCTTATGATAAATATGATAAAAATATCATACTGAAGGCTACGGAAGGTGTTACTAAACACTCTAAATATCAGGATACACAACTGTACACTATATAACAATAGTTAACGTATTTGTTTATGTTACTGTGAGGGTTGGGGTAGACATTAATAAAATACAATTCATTGGGTAATTTAATGACTAATATGAGTATTATTCAGTATAAGTGTGATTTTTAATTACTATCAGAGTTTGTTTTAGGGTTCTG